CGATCGATTGATCGACTCTTTCTATATTCATTTACGTGGAATGCCTACGACCGAAAGTTGATAATTCAGAGATTATATATTTATTAGCAAAAAGAATTTTAATCAGATAGAGTAAAAGATCAAAGTTTTCTAGAGGCTCCGTGGCTTTCGCGGTTCTCAGGTATTTTAATAACATTAAAATACATCGAAATACACACACACATATATATATATATTGACTTTGCTAAAGCGTTATAACAAGGTGCTTAAAAGTTTGCGGGTTGCAAAATAGAATTGCACGGTCGCGTAATGCAAATGTAACGCGTAGTGCGGTCGGCCAATGTAAGCCAACTTTATTGACGAACGAATTTCAAGCCCTTCGACATCATTAAACGGTGGCTGGGGAGAGAAATTATCAAACGACATAATTTGAACGATAGCGCGATAGCGCCGTCACATCATAATTTATTTCATCCGACACCCATTACGCGATCGCACAACGTATCTCTAATTGATAACAATTTAGTTTAAGCGCAGCAAATATTCAACGCCTTTGCGTTTCCAGTTTCAACTTGTCCAATAATGTAAAAGCGGTATCGAGATTTTGAAGATTAATGTTTACGTTCGTGAAACAGTTTGTGCGCAGTTGTATCGACTTTCCGTTAATATTGTTTTAATTAAACTTATCTGGCAGTCCTTATCGGAGTATCGATTTGCTGGCACATCTGGAAGTAAAGTGATTGGCAAATTACGTATCCATGAATAAAGCCGATAATAGCTAATACAGTGCAATTTTCGAGAGTGAAATACATCAACCGAGGCAGGAAGATTATTACCCCGTATTGACACGCTCATTTGCTATTCCAACATCCAGTTAAAATCTGATTAAACTCCAGCTTAAAATTTTACTCCCCTCTCCTCTCGGATCTGTCAGCCGATAAATTATAAATAAGAAAGGAATTGTGGAATCTTTTTTCACATTCCACATTCTGTGATTAACGTAGAACGAAGTTATCATTTTACGTTTATTTTTCAAGCGTGCAAGCCTCGTTCAACGTCAACGTGAGATTACGCGTAAAATTTACAGCGGGATTTACATGTTCAATGTAATGTTAAATGCGCGACGAGGTATAATAACGATCGAAGTTTTCTTTCCACAATCGGCGCGAGCTTCTTCGGGCCTCTTCGGGAGCGCGCGATCGATACGACGTACGGAGACGTACCGTGTCATCGTCCGGATATATATTTATCGACTTGCGTCAATTTTACAATCTGGCGTGATTTACGAGGCGGAGTCCTCGCGACGTTTTCAATGCCGGGCTGAAAGCTGTTAGAGAGAAAATCGGTTACGTGACGAATAACGTAACATATTCGCGACCGTGAAAAATGACCGGCGTTTGACAAAGCGGCTTCCCCCTTGAATCTCACCACCGGCGCGCGATACACCATTATCTTGCGGGACGTCCTGCGGCCCTTCCGGCCCTTCCCCCCCCCCCTGCCCCCTATACGGCACCTCTTCACGCGACTCTATTATCTCTCACGACTGCGCTTTAGCGGAGCAATCCCCAAGCAAGAGATGACGTATTCGAGAGAGAGAGAGAGACAAGTGGCTTGCACGATAGAATTCATCAGGAGCATCCAACAGCCGCGCATGACTGTAGACGGATATGAACGTCTTTACGATTGTCGCCGGAGTTAACGGCGGAAGTGCACCTCGATGTTTACTTACGCTTTATGCGTATTGTAATTCCCATCGATTGCGCGACGAGCGCGTTTTCCATTAGTTGATAGCGACGTTTGCATTACCGTAATAAAAAGAACGACGAGAATCGCGCCGCGTGCATCGAAGCGCGATTAATTTAATTACGATTGCCGACGTCTTCCGATGTGACTGTAAATTGATAAGCGGCCGCGGGGATAGCCGTTTATAAATAACAACACACACGCACACACACGCACACACACGCATACACACACACACACGCACACACACACACACACACACACACACACTCGATCGTGTGCACTCAGGCCTCGTGGCTTGACATGATTCCGTGACCCCTTTCAGACTTAGATACAACAGAAAGTGCAAAACTCTGTCGTGCGACGAAGAGCGAATCTAAAACAAGCTACTGCAACTATGGACTCTAATTGTTGGTTTGAAAACAGTTATCTGAGGTCACTCTTGACGTTGCAAACAGTAGACTTCCAAGATCTAATTTGTATGTATATGTTCTACCGACTAATCTGCGGATGTATATACGCGAAATCTGGTATTTACAGCGCCACTCGTGGTTTCCGTCGTGACGATTCACAAATCGAACTAAACCCCACGGCACTTTACTCTATTGCGAATAGAAAGCTTATTCAAAAATTCATTAAGTTAACGAGACCAATTTTCGCGTTATTAGTAACAAAGTTAGTTCCTTCCGGCTAATTATACATGTCTCAACTCTCTTTTGTTCAGTTTATTCTGTTACCACTTTGAAATTTAGATACGTAGATACAAATTTTCAATCTATTCATTACAAAATATACAATTATCTAAAAGAGATACTTGGATTTTGAGAAATTTAATTAATAATATAAGGAAAAAAATCTTTTTTTTTGGAATTTTTTAATATACACAACTTGAGAGTTTGAAACATATTATAGTCAATATCTTTCCATTTTTAAGTATAAAAAAAAATACAAGAAAACACTATGGAAAATAAAATCAAGCGAATCGTCTTGTCTGCAACTTTGTATGAGCGACAAGCAGGGAATTGCGCGCCGACGACGAAATAGAGAAATTTATCTGATGACTGACTACGTCTGCTGACGTTTGATTGCGGTTGACATATCGAGGAAAACGTAATAAACGGTCCATCACTTTTTCATTCGGACTTTCAATTCGACGTTGTGAATTGTGATCTGACGATTTTATCTAGCTCGTGCCGCTCGTACCAATCTTTTAGTAGTCCGGCTTACGCGCGAGTGTTTTCCCTCGAGCGATCGAAGAATAATATTTGCAACATTTTCGTATAACGAAAAATGGCCCTCAACCTACTATCTGAGAGTTGTCTTGGGGAATGGTGCGTAGCTTCCGTTCGAAACATTTTTCAACGTTCACTTTATATTTACAATATGTATATACATATATAATATATTACGTTGTTCAGTTTACATAATATCAAAGATGCAGGAGACATTTAGATTCGAAGCTTTCGTAATCAACTCAGAGAAAGTTTAGAAAGTCCCAGTATAACCGATTCGTAACTCAGTTACTATTTGTTTTATGCTAACGTAGAGTTAATTACACCGATGCCGGGAGTTGATGTTTGAGATGCTTGATTATATTTCGCGCAACTGCGTTTAATTGCATTTTCATGCGATTGCGAGGAATTTACTTTACTATTAGGATGATGGCTTTTAGGATACTAAAGCTAATTATTTTTATAAATCCCAAAAAAACACAGCTAAACAACAAATAATTAAAGAAAATATTCCATTTTATTGTTATTGTTGTACCTTATGTATAGTACACATAAAAAAAATTAAGTATGTATGTTTATAGTGACTTCTTAAAATTTTTTATATGATGCGATTGTAAAGTTTGAGATGTAATCCATACTTTCCATACATTAGACATATACACATACACATACACTAAAATACTTTATGGCACTTCTTGATAACAGCGGACCTATAATTTAAATTTCATTAGTCAGTCCATTCCAGGATATACCCCCCTCCCCCTCTCGTATAATATATCCACAGTAATTATTCGATCGGCGGAATGTTTGTCGAGGGACTGTAAATATAAAAGTCGCCCTTAGCCACTCTTAGTTTGTATATTTTTTTGCCTCGTTGGATTCGTGCTCGGGCGAGCTCACATTTTCGCAAAGCAGCTGGCTGACCGCCGGTATCGGGTGCTGCCATCGAAAAATCGACGTCTGGCTCGCACACGAAAGCGGACCCGGGTTCTGCTTCGTTACACGCGAGTGTAGTGGCTACACGCGTGAATATCGCTTACGTGGACCAAGCTCGCCCGGGACTTCTTCCTATCGTCGCTCTTATCGTGACGTTTAACGAGCACGGGTCACGTTGTATATCCAGGGTATGCTCGCTTTTTATACGATCGTACCGCAATGGTAAGTTAACCTCCCCCGATAGAGGACGGGGAGATAAGTGATAAAGGTGGGCGAATGGGCCGACAGGAAGAAATAATTATCCACGCAATAAAACACAGCGACTTCTTATGACGCATTCCAGCCAGTTATATGATTAAATAACTTCGTAACGTTGTACCCTTATTGAAACATGCACATTTAAAATACTGACTTTATATGCAATTTTATTTAATGGTAATTCTAATATGGGAGAGACAGATATAAGTGATAAATAAGTGATAAATTAAGTAAATAAAAGTCGGTAAAAAAAAATTAATTAATTGTTATATTATTGAATAAGACATTAGCTCCCTTTCTCTCTCTCTTTCTCTCTTACTCCCTTTCCTTTGCTCTTCTTTCTTTCTTATTAATTTTCATTCATTGTCTAAATAAAATTTAAAATAAAAATTTAAAATAAAATATAAAATTAAAAATATTGTATTTAAATATGAATACAACGTACATTTCAAAAATATGAAGGATTTAATTATCCATTTTTTAATTAACATTGAAATATTGCTAAATATTACTCACTGATTAATGCACAGATTTTAAAATATTTAAAAGAACATTTTCTTCTTGTCTCAAAATCTTATTAATTAATATGCTACTAAAGTATATTATATTTAATTTAAAGTATATTATATTTAATTAGTAAATTCTTAATTTCCGAGAGTTTTTAATGATGTTATAAAATTATATAGTACGTAGCATATTTATGTTTCGAAGTGCATTGATAAAAAGTGTCAGATATACGAAAACCATGATCTCGTACATTTTTCTTTTATTTAACGACTTTTTGCATGCAAAGTACGTTAAGTCTTAGAGCTTTTATCCAAGAACCATAAAAAACAGAGATTAAGAGCTTACCTGTAGATCGGGATGTCACTTCGGGTATCACTTTTGTACCAGACAATCAAGATAGCGGAATCGTTGCGATGAGATGGTCGAATATCGCATGGTAGATTGGCCTGTCCACCGAGGACCGCTATCGTAGACAATGGCGGCCCTAAAAAACGAAATACCGATTAAATAGTCGTCACTTGCATTTTCTGTCAATTTTACGATCGGAAGAATTTCTATAAATAATACTTTAAATACTAAATTTTTATACTCTATAAGTAATACTTTTAACTCTTTACAATTAACAATGTCTAATTAACAATGTGTTTAAATATTTAAAAGCCATACCTACATTTTTATAAAATTATACATTGTTAATAAATCCGTTAATGTGTTTTTAAAATATTTTTTGTTATTTTTTAATATAATTATATCGTAAAGAATAAAAATAACAATACAAGAGAGACATTCTAGAAATTGGATTTTAATGTTTAATAATAGAATATCTGTCTTATATGTTTCTATTATTTAACATCGGTTATTAAATATTTATGTATTTATATTGTAAAGAGCTAATGGCATATTATGTAATATGTAATATGTACAATGCAAATATTAATAGATAATTATCAATAAAATTTATAACTATCACAAGTTAATAACTATCATGTTAATAACTATCACAGTTATCACAGTTATTACACATTAACATTTAATTTCATCCGAATTAGTAGCAAACAAAATTTTACATCGTTGCCTTTTACCTTTTATGAATCAAAAACTACCTTTGACAAATTTTTTCTCTCGCTGATTTCATATTTCTTCTATAGTAGCGCGTGCATTCGTAATATTAATTATAAATGTAATATAAACGACCATCATATTCATATATACAAGAAGAAAAGATCGATTTTATTATTTGTTTAATTCATTTATGATTGCGATGAATGAAGCGCGAGAGGAAATAAAAAAAAAGATTATTTTCTGTTATCGATAGCTACAATGGCTAATTTGATGCCGAGAAATCGCATCATCGTGACGCAACGAGCTTTATGTTCAATAAGATCCGTGTTATTATCACCCTTACATTGCGTTACTGATAACTTTGAGTGGTTATTTCCGCGACGTAGGAAATCCGTTTTACTTACAAATAACAGGTTTGACTGACGCAGGTGCGACACGAAAGGTGATTGCGTTTCATGGAGAACCTGTCCTTTACCAAGAAATGTCGCGTATTATCGTTATTATCGTTACCGCACACACAGCGTACATCGCATCTGCTTACAATTTCTTTCTGATAATTTTCTGAATTACGCTTTCACATTAATACCTTACGCGATGTATCGTGAAAAACACGTATCTACTAATTTTAGCAAATCGACAATTTATATAGCTAAAAAAAGGAGAGAGAGAGAGAGAGAGAGAGAGACGCTTAATGACCCAATATCGGGTTATAACTAAAATGACTCATATAATGGCTAATATATCGCTATTGATTTCTTCAATTATACATGAAATTGCTGTAGTTGTTCTTTGTATTTGATATGAAACAAAATTGAATGTCCGAATTGAATGTCCGAAAATTGAATCGGTTATAAATCAACTTAATTAATTAATTCTATAATTGATTTAAAAGACATGGGACAACGTGAACAATTTTCTTTACAATGAACAAAGCAAAAATAGCAATATTCCGTTAAAAGATAATTCTGCGGTTCGAATATCGAGTATCCGACAATAAGATTTCGCGTTTTCCTGCAAGATGGACAATTTAATATCTTCGAAGTGAAATAAGGAAACAAAACGTATCCAGGCGAAGATATCGGTGTTATGCAGAACCGGCGGAGGCCACGTCACAATTTCGCGCTCCAGAAAATGCCGTTTCCACTGGACAGCATCCTGGGCATTTAGTCTGGGTCAGGTATTGAGGGATCGGCGAGAATATTTGCGGAGGAGATGGCGAGCGACGGAAGAGAATGCCAGGGAGGACAGCGTGGCCAGCCGACCGGCCGGCGCGCCGGAAAACGGAAACGGATGTATATATGCTGGTTGTCCGAGCGTATTAAAACTGAGCGAATAGCGAATGGATTTCCTTTCCAGTCTGTCGACCGTAGAGGAAATGCGGATCTCTCTCTTCGCCAACGACAGTTAAATTTTTTCAAATTCCTCAGCTCTCCGTTTTTGAATTGAACGTCAAACAAAGCGATTCCCGGAGTATTCCCTGATTGTTCAAACTTATTGCAAACTTTCATTTGAGTGCGAGATGAAGAGAGCGAATATAGAATAAATGGATCCAATACTAATTCACCTATATTTGATAACTCGTATTTGGAACTATTAGTTTTGTAAAATATCACCGTGAAAATACGAAAATATGCGAAATATTCGTCAAGTAACAATTTCACAAATTATTAGGAAATTGACACTGTGTTTTTATTCAAATTATTTCGTAAAGATCGATTTATTTTTTCTCTGTAGCTTATTATGTAATTTATTATTTGAATCTAATTTAGCTAATGAAAATCTAGTACAGTTAAAATGTTTATTTATTTCTTTTATATATATAAGAAAGTTGATAATTTATTGACAACTTTCATTTGCACATTTCTCAGCCTGATGATCTTCCAATATTTTGTTTGTCTATTTTTAGTACAACTTATTTCTGTAATTTATATAGGATATTTGTTTCCATTGTATCATAAATTTCTTATTAGTTTTTAAAGATTGTACAATATGTGCAAATATATATAGATAAAAATTAATATTTGAAAAATTATTAATAATTTTCAGCCAAAAATATTTTATGTATACATATACAATGTACACACACACACACACACACACACACACACACACACACACACACACACACACACACACACACACACACACACACACACACACACACACACACACACACACACACATACAGAATAAACATTGATTTCTTTGCGCTTTAAAAATGCAGAATAACATTATTTTTCGTTAAATATTATTTAACTATTCTTAAAAATGTTATAGCTTCTCTCTCATTTGTAGAGAACAATACGATATGCGAAACAAAAGTGGCGGACATTCTATTATCAAACTTGGCGAAACCTTTATCTTATCTTGTCCAATTTCTGAGTTTCTGTCATAGGAGTCATTTCTCTTCCTTACATTTTCAGCCCCATGAGCGATAGTTCGCACGGCGCTCATATTAGGTCTCTCGTTCCAAGTTTTGAATTTTTAAGCAGAATTTTCACTCTGTGCCGCCGTCACGGGAGAGAATATATTATGCAGTCCCTAATTTACCGTCCTAGAGCCGGTCGTTTCAGTCTCGCGGAGAAACGAGTTTACGCGGAGGTACAAATGGAAAGGCTCGATGTTTATTTCACCGTTTATTCGAACATCCCTCGTTTGACGATGATCTGAATTTAAATGCAAGTTTGGTGAATATTATTACAAGGAAGCGCATTGGTTTTAATCAATTATAATTCATTATAATTTAATCAAGTATGTTTGCGATTGTAAAATGGGAGAGGAGGAAGCGAACATTTTGTAATTACTCCATTTACTGTTATGTATTTTCATTATGATAATGTGTCCTTCATATATCACAAAGTGATAATAGTTAAATTTGACTATCAAAATTTCGAGTTGCTTGATGCTGGTGCAAACTTTAACGCTCCTCATCGATTCAACACTCTCCAGACTCTTCAAAGTTCTAATGGAAATTGTTTTCAATAAACTCTTTGCTATATTCTTTTACAATACATCTATAAAACGTACAGTTTTTACATGTAAAAAAATAAACGTATGTTTTTAATATAATCCAAATAATAAAAGTAGTCATCTTTTCTTTACATTTTATATATTTCCTATATTTCTAGAAACTTTTCAATTTTTCTATATATTGGTAATATAAATATAAATATATTTACACTATATAATTTTATACTAATAATTGGAAAAAATTTTATTTAAAATAATAAATCTATGAAAATACAATAAAATTAATAACATAATGAAACCTTTTCATTAAATGAAACTTAAATAACAATTTTTTAAACAATTTCTATACACATTTTTTTAAAGAAATAGTATCTTTTAAAAAATTTAATGTAACTTAATGACTAGTCATGACTAGTCAAAGTAATTGATAATAAAATAAATTTTTTAATATAAACAAAGCAGCTATAAAACCGGTTGGTTCTGTAAATCCTTTCCGAATATATATGAAAACATTCTAGCCAATCCAAGTGCAACTAAATCGCCTAACTCACGACCAACGAACGGTTTGAAACAACCTATAGTCACAATATTCTTTCTAGTTTCGAATCCGGGACAGTGCCGGCGTAGAGGAAAAGTGTATTGAAATTTCACTGTGTGGATTTTAAGCCGGCGCGCGTCGATAGACGTCAATCCCTTTGGCGTATTCGTGATATAAAGTACATAGACACATCGGGATATTCGCATCGTCGCAATAGGATTTTACATACCAAGAGAGAAAGAGAGAGGGAGGACGAGAGACAGAGAGAGAGAGAGAGAGAGAGAGAGAGAGAGAGAGGAGGGAGGGAGGGAGGAG